CCTTTCAATCACAGCCCTCCTCCTCACACCAGAGACCCTTCATATCATAGCTCCCCCCTCTCACATCCCAGCCCCTCCTTAATTCACAGCCACCCATCATAGCTCCCCCTTAAATCACAGCCTCCCCCCTCACATCACAGCCCCTCCATATCACATCTCCCCCTTACATCACAGCCCCCCATATCACAGCTCCCCCTTTACATCACAGCTCCCCCATCACAGCCCCCCCACATCACAGCTCCCCCCCACATCACAGCCCCCCATATCACACCTCCCCCTCTCACATCACAGCCCCCCCCTTACATTAAAGACCCCCCATATCAGAACTGCCCCCTCACATCACAGCTCATCCAACTCACAGCTACCTTTCTCACATCACAGCCCTCCCCCTTCTCACATCACAGCCCTCCCCCTTCTCTTTCACAGCCCTCCTCCTTCTCACATCACAGCCCTCCCCCTTCTCACATCACAGCCCTGCCCCTTCTCACATCACAGCCCTCCCCCTTCTCACATCACAGCTTCCCGCATTACAGCCCCCTATATCATAGCTCCCCCTTATCACATCACAGCCCCCCATATCAGAGTTCCTCCCTCACATCACAGCCCCCAGTATTACAGCTCCCCCCCAATTACACTCCATTTCACAGCTCCCCCCTCTCACTGCCCCCCACATCACAGCCCCCCATTTTACAGCCTCCCCCTCACTTCACAGCCCCCCACAGCTTCCCCTGACATCACAGCTTCCCTCCCTTAGTCTTCCCCCTACCTAATTCAATAGTGTGCAGGGCAGGAGGAATGGCAGCGTGCAATCCTCTTCTGAAAGTACTTGTCGCCATCGCTTCTGAACTCACTGCAGAGAGGAGGGTGGGAGGAATGGCAGGGTGGACTCCTGCTCTGTGTGACCTGTCCTGCCACCACTGCTGTTGAAGTCACAGTAGGGAAGAAAGCGGAAGGAATAACAGGGTGGACGCCTCTTCTGAGTGTACTCGTCACTGCCACTGCTGAACTCACTGCAGGGAGGGGGGACAGGAAGCACGGAAGGTCTGCACTGAGGGCGGGAGCTGCCTAACTATTCTTGGTAAAAGGCGAGTGACCCGCTTGTTAATATTAAAGGTTGGGCAGCTGCTGTTCCCCCTGTCGACCTTCCGTGCCTCCCACCCTCCTCTCTGTAGTGAGTTCAGCGGTGGCAGCAATGAGTACACTCAGAAAAGGAGTCCACCCTGCCATTCCTCCTGCTTTCTTCCCTACTGTGACTTCAACAGCAGTGGCGACAGGACAGGTCACACAGAAGGGAGTCCACCCTGTCATTCCTCCCACCCTTGTTCCTGCTGTGAGTTCAGCGGCGGCAGGAGAGTACATTCAGAAGAGGCGTCCACCCTTCGATTCCTCCTGCCTTTTTTTCCTGCTGTGAGCTCAGCGGCGGCAGGAGAGTACATTCAGAAGAGGCGTCCACCCTGCGATTCCTCCTGCCTTTTTTCCTGCTGTGAGCTCAGCGGCGGCAGGAGAGTACATTCAGAAGAGGCATCCACCCTGTGATGCCTCCCGCCCTTTTTCCTGCTGTGAGTTCAGCAGCAGTGGCGGTAGGACAGGTCACACAGAAGAGGAGTCCACCCTGCCATTTCTCCCGTCCTCCACAATGCTGGGATTTTTAACAGCTGCAGCGGCAGGAGGAGAGGAGTCCACTCAGGCTGTTAAGTGGTACAGTCGCGGTCCGGACAGGACTGTCACTCGGTCCGTGTCTGGACTGCGATTCCGCCATTTACTGACGCCTGCTGTAGATAAATGAGGAGAGATGGCATAAATCAGAGTAGAACCTGATTTTCAAATTAGGTAGATGAACCTCTATTGGGTCATTCATAGCATTTGAGTTTTCTATATCTGATGTAAATCATAATATTTAAAAAATACGGCATTTGAGGGAGCATCCAAAGACTCATTGTTGGGGAATACTAATTACATGCAGAAAAGGGTTTCAAAGAAAGGGGACAGCACAATAGAAGTCTTAAGCCGGCCGCAAATTGAAAACTGAACTAAAACTGTCAGTTGTCGAATCGTTCATTTTTTTGCATCATTAGTGTGCCAGCTGCGACATGAGATTTTGCATGCCACAATCGAAAGTGCCTGATCCAACATGCTGGTTTTGTTTTATAAAAACAAAACAAATGATGGCACAATCGTATGACCTATTTTCGTTTATTGATCAACTTAACGGTCATTTTTCGACTCATCTATGGACAGCTTTAGAGACAGCAATAAGAAGTGAAGACCAAGTCAAGAGCAGGTTATGAGAAGAAAATGCTAAATCAAAGTCTGGACAGGTATATAAAGACTTAGGCCACCTTCACACTGCAGAAATGCACAAATTAGCACAATGCACGAAAATACATATGCTGAGTGTCAGTATGCTGCAATGCCATTCATTCCTAATGACACCCCAATGAACCTTGGCGACAGCTGTGCATTGCAGCACACAATGCATGGTAATGCACTACCATGCATTGTGGTGAACGGAGTTACAAAAAAATGTAGAAGCAATATTTGGTGCATCTTGGTGCTTTAGGTAGCCTATTCAATTCAACGGGTACCATAATACAATGCATGTTAGCATGCAACATAACACACATCAATACACATGCGTTAAACACTCTGCAACAGTGTGAACCCAGTCTAAAGATGAAAAATAAAGAGCAACCAGTTTGCAGAGAGTTCTACCTATCTTGCTTTCTTTTATTTCTCATTTTTACATTGCCTTTGGCCCTTACATGAAAGAGACTGCAACTGGAATAGGCAAAGGATGCTGAAGGAACTTTTCATGTTCAAGGGCTGTATGAACAGGGCTAAAAGGTAAGTATATTACTAAAGGGTTAAATATATTGGAGTGGGGTGGAGACAGATGGAAAGTGATCTCATTCATTAAAGTGAACTTGTACTTTGCCCAAAATAATATAAAGAGCACTATGTAATATGCGGTAGCCCAGGAAATACAAACTTCCTCCATTGTGGAATCGGTTTGGCTGCTAGTACTTGTCAGCTTCTGACTATTGCCAGTATTGTTCACATAGCTTTATTAAACAAAAAATGTCATCTCAACAAAACTTGCAATAGATCTTTACATACAAGTCTTAATTTTTATATTTCTTCCCATAAACTATATTTTTTTTGCACAGAGACTGAAATCAATTTTCCTAAACATCAGTCAGATCAAAACACATATTAATTTTCTGTGAGCTTGTAGACCTGACAAACTAAAACTACACCATGCTGCAGTTAATGCCCAATTTACCTTCCTATTCTAATCAGCAAAATACAGTCCAGGCGTATCAAAACAGAAAGTTGTTCAACACCAGGGGCGGACTGACCATTTGGAAACTTGGGCACTGCTCGAGGGCCCGGGGTCAGTAGGGGGCCCCATGAGATGCCCCTGATACCTTTTTCATAGGCTTTTTTGAGTTTGGGCAAGGACACAGGGGCCCCATGATTCCCTATTGCCCGGGGGCCCCATGAGTTGTCAGTCCACCCCTGTTCAACACCTTACAGTTCTCTTTGGAAAGCAACCACATCCTGAGTTGTAAAGCCTGACCCCTATCAGCAAATAGCAGGCAGCATGGGCTTTGCTGATTGGAGAGCTGTGGCTCACCAAGAAGTGATGGACCCCAGCAGTGAGACTACCGCTTCCACACAGAGACGCTGGCAGAGGAAAGACTACATTAAAATGTGCTATATTCTCGAGTTCAACAACTGCTGCAAATTGGCAAACTCAGTGATGCTGCCCAAAGGCTTCTTACTACTGCTCTCACAAGCAGTGGGTCTAGGCCAAACAAAGGCATTTGTCCCGTCTTTCTTGAACTCTCTTGAAGTCATGCCACATGATTAAGGAGTTCAGCAAACTTCACTCATTTCAGTTTATGAACATTTAGCCAAACTCCTCAAGCTCTTTTAGAGTTTCACACTTTACTAGGGCCTAATTATAGAGTCCAGGGGAGTAATTACAGGGGTCACAATTGCTACCCAGCCCAATTCTCCAGGTAGCCGGTGTGGCTCCCCTGTATGCCTGGATATGAGGGACGGCAGGGGTGGCATATAGAGAAACCGATGCCCTCCATTTTTCTCCTTTAGTTGCTGAAAGTCCGCTTCTCCTTCTCTCCCTCCTGCAATAATTCAGTAGTTGCAGGAAGAAACGGATTTCTCTATATGCCACCCGCACCTATCCAGGTCCTGTGGCCTCCAGGCCCCTATGTACTCTACTGGCCACCCCCTTATCCCCTGCAGGTCTGCCAGCCCCCCCCTCCCCCCCAAAAACAAACCCCTTCTCTCCCGCCGGCTGCTGCTACGGGGGGCTGCTTTCAGGATGGAGAGTGGGGAAGGGACCGTTATATGTCGTTTACCGTCTCCTTCCTTTTCTGTACCAATCAATGACTCAGTGAACTGTCTGTTTAGACCCCTGATATCTCAATAAAGTCCCCCAACTGGGCTCTTAAAAGAATTGTCAAAAATAAATAAAATTAAATTGTAAAAAAAAAAAAATATAAAATAAAATGGTAAAAAAAAAATAAAAAATTCAAAAGCTACTGACACCAGTGGCAAAACTACCAGGGTTGCAAAGGTCATACTTGCAACTGGGCCCTGGTGCTCCGCCACCATGGGGGCACCAAAATGACAGGAAAGGGGCCCACTGCAGAACATGTGAAAGGGGCCCCACTGCTGGACTGCAATAAAGGACCCTGTGACAGGAGTAAAGGGCCCTGGCCAGAGGTCATGGGCCCCTCAAGATTCTAATTAGGCCTCTAATAGAGTCTCTACAATTAAGCCCTAGTACAGGAAACTGCACACCTCGAGATGTCTAGTGGGGTGCCCTACTGGGAAAACATTTATTGAACACCTAGGTCACATGGTAGTGTGGCTACATTGATTTTTTTAAGTGGTGGAGAAAAACAGATTAGAGGTTGGAATAAAATTTGCCTATATTCAACAAAGCTGAAGTGACAAAGGTCACATCTTACCTGCAGTATCTGGCTTGGTGGCTTGGAGATGCATGTACCCACTCTCCTTAACGCTGTGGCCAACCACGTTCTTCATAAAGGGGAACAGTCTCCTGACTTCCAGGTCACTGAAGCCAAATAGCCCTGGGAAATACTGGCCCAGCAGAATGGAGAGGAGGATCACGGGCTTAAAGCTTGACACAAATACCATGTTGAGGTGCAGACCCTTAACATTGCTGAAAGAGATTGTACAGAGATATAGATATATATATATATAATGTTTGCAGCAACAATATAAATAAGACCACTAGTTAATTGACTTGATGAAATAATGTGTTACAAAATGAGACAGTGGAAGGATAGTGTAAATAAAGGATACACAGCAAACTAGTTTTCTGCAAAGTTGACATGAAGTCAAAAAGTGAAGATTTGCTAATTTATAGGGAACATCTAAAAATGGTAAGGGTGCCAAAAACACCCTGAAAAGGAACCCTTTGCCTTGAATTCCTATTCAAAAATATCTGTGCACTTTCTGCAGTCACATTTGATGTGGAGTGACAGCTGGAGATGTTACCACTGTGCTGCTTATTGCTCACCTTGCTGGAAAGGTTACTGGAAAACATGCAGAGCAAGATCTTTCTGATATTGCCTCATTCATTCTATAGATCTGTGCTTCATCAATCTCTGCTGCTGCTTCTCATACTAGCCATACACTGTTCAAATTTTGCTCAATGGTTGGCCCCACTGGTTCAGCTCTATTTGACAGAAATTGAATGTTAGATCATCTTTTGTCAAAAGAGCCTGCTGGAAAATTTTCAGCTGAACAGCGGCTGCTGCCAAAAATCCAAAATACCATAGCTGCAGTGGGAGATTTGTTCATGTGCTCTGTAGCGTGGATGGAGCAATGGCTGAAGGAGAAAAAACTGTCAGTTCACGGCCAGCTTACATCATACCCCAGCTGTCTTCAGAACTCATCATTTTCCTCATCAGTCATGAGAGGGACAGTTCTGACAAAAGGAAACAAAGCCCTGCCTCTGCCAAGATGGCCAATACCACACAGAACAAGGCAGTGCAGGAAGACCACAGGCAAAACCGGTGACTAGTCTTTTGCCTCTGCTTGAATTGTTTTAGGCGCAGCTTCCACAGTACAGGTCCTCTTTGGTGGTATAATATAGGTCTGTTTTAAGGGCCAGTTCACACTACATGCGTTTCAGTGTGCTTTTTTTTTCTGCATCCAAAATGCACAGAAAGTAGGTTATATGGTTGTCAATGTCATAATTCCCATCAGTGCTTTGAGTTTCAGTGCGTTCCGGATGCAGACAAAAAAAAAGTAGAAGAGGCTGCCTTTTTCCTGCACAGAACTGTACTGGAACGTGGTAAAAAACGCATCAAAAACGCACCGGAACGCACCAAAACCACACTGGAATGCACATATCCCAATATATATGACCGCTCCTAACCCTGGAAACCACTAAGCTACTTATTCACTCCCTTGTCATATCACGCCTCGTCTATTGTAACTCCCTCCTCATTGGCCTACCTCATCGCAGGCTATCCCCACTCCAGTCTATCATGAACGCTGCTGCCAGACTCATCCACCTTACTAAAAACGTTCTGTATCTGCCACCCCTCTCTGTCAATCCCTCCACTGGCTTCCAGTTGCCCAACAGATAAAATTCAAAACACTAAGAATGACTTTTAAAGCCATCCACAACACTGCCCCAATTTACATATCCGATCTTATCTCTAAATATCACCCAAACCATACTCTCCGCTCCTCGAAAGACCTCCTACTCACTAGCTCTCTTATCTCCTCCTCCCATGCTCGTCACAAATACTTCTCCAGGGCGTCACCCATCCTCTGGAACTCCCTACCCCAATTTATCAGACTATCACCCACTCTACTTACCTTTAGGCGATCATTGAAAACCTATCTCTTCTGGGAAGCCTATCCCACCCTCTGCTAATACTGGTATCCTCTACGCTTCCAACCACTCCATCCCCCACAGTTTTACCTATTGTACCATTCACCCCTCCCTCCTAGATTGTAAGCTCCAAGGAGCAGGGCCCTCAACTCCCTCTTGTATTGAACTGTATTGTCTCCCACTACAATGTAAAGCGCTGAGCAAACAGTTGGCGCTATATAAATCCTGTATAATATAATAATAATTTAAATTGAAGGAATAGAGGGGAAAAAATGAACCGCAACGCATCAAAAAACGCATTACAAACGTGCATGCAGAAATACATCCAGACTGCGTTTTTATAGTGTGAACCGGCCCTAAAAGGAACCTGTGAAGACAAAAATATAGAAGGGGCCATGGGCTGACTTGTTATATATGGAGCATGGCAAACCCTACACAAACATGTACTTGACAGCTTGCTTGTTCAAGATCGTGGATTCACTAAGCAGTATGGCGGTGCTGTATCCAATGCAATATTTGCCTTTTGGGAGTAATCAGAAAGTCCCAGTGTAGAGTAATGGTGATGATTGATGGGCTGCTGTTTGTTCTAAAGAACTGTGAAGATTGGACTTAAAAGTGGTATTAAACCCAAACCAAAAATATAATATACTGCAGTTTACCAATCATTAGATGTGTTGGCTGCATTCTTTTTATTTTGTAGGCTTTCTTCCATTTTTTTTCACCTGGTGATCTGGCTAGTAACAGACCTCCTGTATTTGAGTGCCCCCACTTTGCATGAAGGAGCACAAGGGGCACGTTTAGATAGCAGCATTGTCAGTGGGGTGGGAGGAGAGTATTGGATGTACCAGCAGATTTAGATGCACTAAAAAACTGAAGCCAAATTCCACATAACACATTATAATCAGTTTCAGTAACAATTTTTTTTGCTTTTGGGATAATGGTTTTAAATATATAAAAAAAGTTGATCATTGTCAGCACCCCTGTCAGTGGTAAATGGTTTGACTCATTCCCTCATTCCTATAACTGTTGCCCTCTGCAGGACAGCTTGTTCTGTTAAAAAAAAAAAAAACAACAACAGACTTACTGGCCAGATCATCATGTGAAATTAGAAGAAAGAAAGACTAAAAAAAGAAAACAAATGCAGCCATTACATCTAAGAACTGGTAAGCTGCAATATAATAAAGGTTTGCTTTTGGGTATAATAGTACTTTAATGTTTGTGAACAAGCAGAGCGTAAAAAGAAATTGCCAAACAGACGTGGACTTCAAACAACCTACATGCATTAAAAACAGGCAGCAGGAAAAAGAACCCCTCATCAGGGTTTTTTCAAGCGAAAATACTGTATAGTAAGGTCACTTAAAAAAGCTGCCAAAACAGCTGTCTCAATCTACATTGATTGTAAAAACATAGCAGCCCCTGGAGCTCCACCACTGTCATCCTTGCAGCCCTGAGGAGGCTTTTTTTTCTTTTCTATTTTAAACCCAAAATTCGTTGTCTCTTTGAACTGGACTTGCAGTAAAGCTTGTTGTTTGAAGTCCACATCTGTTTGCAACTACACCAACGTTTACTCTACTTGGCCACTAAGCAATGAAACAAGCATAAGGACAATGACAGCCCTCACAATATAAATCTTCAATAGCAAGCCAGCAATGGTAAATCATATACTGTATGTCTCTACCAGAAAGTTCCCTGAAAGGCTGCCCATGTCCAGCCTCGTAAAAGCAAGTGGCAATACTCAATTCTGCACAGCACAATAGGGGATTGTGATGGAAATAAAGCTTTCATTGTTCAAACTGGAAAGAATATTACAGGTGTGTGTAGGATTAGTTTGCAAGTGGGCAAAGGTGCCATCTGTCTATCCATAAAATGCAAATGAGTTCTTACCTGGGAGCGATCTGAGCGAGGTTTGTACACACCAATGATCCCCAGTCTCCACCCTGAGCATAGAACTCCCGGAATCCCAAACGCTGCATCAACTTATAGAAGATTCGAGCCACAGCAACTGAATTACATCCTATCCAGAAATAGAACAACAACATTTAAAGCACACACACTTAAACATACAAAAAACATATATTTAACCCTGTGCTGTAAAATAGGAGTGAAATAGAGGGCTGATAACGTGATTTTGGAGTGGACATCGCAGCAGTCACAGTTTCCTCCCGCTGACTGCCATGCCACTGCTTAATCAGCAAGGGGAACCTGTAAGCGCTGCCAGGGACCAAAGAGAACAACAGTCCCAGACTGCTCATTAAAGAAGTGGTCATTGAAAAGTTTAGCAGTGTGAAGGGGTTTCTTCAATAAAGCTCAAATAAAATACAAAGTAAAATGATTTTCTGGATTACAGCATCAACAAGGATTTCTGAAAAGTCTCTAGTTGATTTCCTTGGTGCTGCTCTCTGAAAGTTGAAGAGAGACAATATGGTAGTTCCATAAATGTCATATCTCAGAGAAGTTGAACTGTACCTTGTTTATGAGATGCCTCAGAAAACCCGTAGCCAGGGATGGATGGGCAGATGACCTCAAAAATATGCTCATCGCTCAGACCATGGCTGGCAGGATCAGTCAGAAGGGGGATTATCTTGTAGAACTCGTAGAAGGATCCAGGCCATCCATGGACCATAATAAGAGGCTTGGCTCTTCTGCCAGCTGGGAGGTTTTTTGGCTTTGCGTGAAGAAAATGAATGTCAAGCCCTGGAACAACAGAAAGTCATTTTAAAGAAATACATCTAATTTTATTTTAAATTGGGCAGTTTTAGAAAATCATAGTGGTTGCTGCAATTAAAAAAAGGCAATTTTTAGGAAAGTGATATTGAAAATTGGCTTATAATGTAGCAATATAGTATTTTTTTTAAAGCCCAACTCCACCCAAATATTTTTCAGTTTTGGATTGAGTTAGAAAGAGTCATAAACTCTGTTTTTTTTGTTTTGTTTAATAGCAGTTTTTGTCCCCCCTGGGGAGAATTTTTCCCAGTGACACGGTAGTATGTGAGGGGGATGTTACTTTAACTGACAATTGAGTGGTCATGCAACGCTGCCCCCAAATGAAATTTATGTCCTTTTTTCCCACAAATGGAGCTTTCTTTTGGTGGTATTTGATCACCTCTGCAATTTTTTATTTTTTGCGCTATAAACAAACAAAGAACGATTTTGAAAAAAAAAACAATATGTTTGACATATCAAGTAAAAAACTTTTTTAAAACTCAAAATTTCGTCATAAATTTAGGTCAAAATGTATTCTGCTGCATGTCTGCTAAAAAAAAAAAATCCCAATACATGTAAATTTATTGGTTTTTGTGAACGTTATAGCATCTACAAATGGTGGTGTATATACTGGAATTTTTTTTTTCGTAATTTGTTTTTATACTAGTTATGGCGGCGATCAGCGACTTCTAGCGGGAATTCGGACATTGGGTGGGAACTGACCAACTGCCACTGACATCTCAATGACACTAATACAGTGATCAGTGCTAATAAAAAGCACTGACACTGTACTAATGACACTGGGCAGGAAGGGGTTAACATCTGGAGCGATTAAAGGGTAACTGTGCTGTGTTTTACTGTATGTGCTTTACTAGGGAAACCTGCAACCGTGTATTTCTCTGCTGGGCAGAGAAGTACACAGCAGCATGTTACAGCTGGCAGAAGAGAGACCCGTGTTTACACACAGGTCTCTCCCCTGTCACTGTTCCTTGGCAATTGCCGGGTACCAGCAGGGAATCTCTGGCTGGGACCCAGTGAACGACATATGTAGCCTCCATTTCCCCCTACCTAAAATGCAAAATCACGTATATATACACACACACACATGTGGTTTTGCGCAGCCCTGTCGCCTTGTAGCAGCAGTTCTGCTATAGGGCGGTAGGGAAACAGTTAATGTGAATGATCTTGTAAACTTACTTTAAGATCCCCATACATTTACATTCCTGGAATTCTGTGACACGTAGTCACTATGCCCTGTAAGTAGGCACTACTGTCACACATTTCACAGAGCCTGCATTCTGATCTACAGGAGGTGCTACGAGGAGGAGTTTCAGGAGGCGGAGTCAGTACGGAATCACTGCTTGCAGGCAGCAAGGTACCATGGGATATGTAGTAATTAGATATTGAACATAAACAGCAGCGTAGAAGCTGCAAAGCATGCAGGGAATCCAGGAAGTTGCTGACAGATATGGCGAGCAGAAATCACAGCGCTATAGAAGATATTTCAAGTAAGCTTATCCACTTTACTGACACATTTTGTTTACATGAAAAAATCAGCTTTTTTTGCTAAAAAAATTTACTTAGAACACCCAAAACATTATATATTCTATTTTAAGCAGAGGCCCTATAGAATAAAATGGTAAGTATATGCGCAGCGGTTTTTCTTCACACATCATTTTCTGGAAAAAATACACTAATGAATTTTAATGCACACAAACACAATACACTGTGTGCACGATTATTAGGCAAGTGAGTATTTTGACCAAATAATTTTTTATGCATATCGTTCAACTCCAAGCTGTATAAACTTGAATGCTTATTGGATTTAGGCATATCAGGTGATGTGTATTTGTGTAATGAGGGAGGGTGTTTGCTTAAAGGAGATCAACACATTATATCAAGGTGTGCATAATTATTAGGCAGCTTCTTTTTCCTCAGTCAAAATGGACCACAAAAGAGATTTATGTGACTCTAAAAAGTCAAAAATTGTAAAAAGTCTTTCGGCGGGATGATCACAGAACCATCAAACATTTTATTGCAAATAGTCAACACGGTTGCAAGAAACATGTTGAAAAAAAAAAAAAAAAAAATCGCAAATTAACTGCCAAAGATTTGAGAAGAATCAAATGTGAAGCTACCAGGAACCCATTATCCTCCAGTGCTGTCATATTCCAGACATGCGAACTACCTGGAGTGTTCAGGAATGCAAGGTGCTCAGAGACATGGCCATGGTAAGGAAGACTGAAAACCGACCACCAAGAACAAGACAAAAGTTGAAACATCAAGACTGCGCCAAGAAATATCTGAAAACAGATTTTTCAAAGGTTTTATGGACTGATGAGATGAGAGAGACTTCTTGATTGACCAGATGGATGGGCCCGTGGCTGGATCAGTAACAGGCACAGAGCTCCACTTCGACTCAGATACCAGCAAGGTGGAGGTGGGGTTCTGGTATGGGCTGGTATTATTAAAGATGAGCTAGTTGCACCTTTTCGGATTGAAGATGGACTCAAAATCAACTCTCAAACCTACTGCTAGTTTTTAGAAGACACTTTCTTCAAGCAGTTGTACAGGAAAAAGTTTGCATCTTTCAAGAAGACCATGATATTTATATACAGGACAATGTTCCATCGCATGCATCAAAGTATTCCACTGCGTGGCTTGCCAGTAAAGGCCTTAAAGATGAAAGAATAATGACATGGCCCCCTTCCTCACCTGGCTTTGTGGGCCCTTCTTAAATGGGAAATTTACAGTGAAGGAAAACAGTACACCTTACTGAACAGTGTCTGGGAGGCTGTGGTTGCTGCTGCACAAAAGGTTGATCATCAACAGATCAAGAAACTAAAACTCCATGAATGGAAGGCCTATGACTGTTATTGAAAAGAACGGTGGCTATATTGGTTTTTAAATGTCAGAAATGTTTATTTGTAAATTTTGAGTTATTTGTTTATTTTTCTCACTTTAAAAGATGAAAATAAACAAATGAGAAGGTAAAATTTTCCATTTTTCATTTAGTTGCATAATAATTCGGCACACTAATAGCTGCCCACTAATTCTGTACATAGATATTCTCCTAAGAAAGCCAAAACCTCACTTTTACTTTGTTAAATATTCAGGTTTGAGGTTAATTAGCTTTTTGGATTGATCAAGTGCACTGTAGCTTAATAATAAAATTTATGCTCAAAATTACAACTTGCCTAATAATTGTGCACACAGTGTAAAATACCTAATTTTTGGTAAAATATAAAAGAAGGAGTTATGCCGAGTAACTAGAGACCCAACATGTCACACTTTACAATTTCACATGCATGTGGAATGGCGACAAACTACGGTATTTATAAAACACAGGTGAAGCTTTAAAAGCCTTTACAGGTTACCAGTTTAGAGTTACACAGGAGATCTGCTGCTAGAATTATTGCTTTCCCTCTGACGCTCATGGCAATACCTCACATGTGTGGTGCGATCATCTTTAGAAATTTAGTTGTCTCCTTGTGCCCTTAACAACATCTGTTACCCAGTTGTCTCCTCTGCCCTTAACAACATCTGTTCACCCCAAGATCGGTGTGATCAGATGCTTTTCCAATTTAAAAATGGCACGGTTTTTCACATCCGAGGAAACCAGAAGTGACAAAATACATTTTGCTGATGATTGCCAAGGATTGTGGACATTCCGGTCCATGGTCAGCTTTACAGTCAGCCAGCGGAACTTCTGGCTTCGGTGCCAAGTTCCCCACCGGCATGGAAGAGCCCAAAGAGAGGTGGCAAGAGGGGGGGGGGGGCACCCCCCTCCACACCTGAAAAGCAATCCAGTGGCTAATTGCCAGTTGGATTGCTTTTTACAAAAAACAGAATCGCCCACAGGAAAAAAACAATACTGGGGTGATGCCTGTAGCTGCCGGCATCATCCAGGTATACCACCTAAAACTGCTGACTGTTTCAAGTGGTTATATGGGATTGTCCAAAATAACTATTGTTTGTATTGTTTAATGTTTACGTTATTAAATATAGTGTATGCTGTGACCATAGATATCCTTTAATCTTGGGTTCTCCTGCATATTGATTCTAGGTCTGTATAGTAATCTAGCTGGATACAACATTTGTACTTTGACTCTGTGCAGAACTTTCCTGTAATGTAGACTAGTCACTGCTGTTCTCTCTCCTTGTGCAGGATGACTGGTCTGGTCTCCACCCCCTCCTGTAGTTATCTGCAGGCAGTAGGTGGAATCTGCTGGATCCCCCCACAGTTCTGCTCTCTGCACAGACTATATATGATGATGACTTTTACAAACTTATTTCTGGGTTAATAAAGACGTGGTGCACATAAAGTGGATTTTTTTCTTTTGTGGCTAATGAGGATTACATTTGCAGGAATGTTTTTGTGCCCTGAACCCACAGCTTTAAAAGTGTGTACTTACCTTATTAGTTTCACAAAAGTGTCCCACAAACAGTCCTCACAGCCCTTGCTAGACTTCTCATCACTGACATCTCAGCACCAACTGCATATGATTTGCGGTCATTGGCCTCTGATACACCCTGGCACTTACAACTGGACAGCAATTAACCTCATAACAACTGAACTGTAAGGAATGTGTGTCTGGTCTAAAATCATTCAAAAGGCGCCAGTATTTATCAGCTGCAGTTCACAGTACACAAAAATACAGTTATACAAACATTTGCGACATCCAAAACCAACAGTGAGGTTGAACTGTGGAATCACTCATATTTAATGTTTCAGTACCATAAAATGACATTTTACCAAGGCTTTCTGGGGCCCCTGGAAAACTGTTGGGGGAAAAAAAAAACAGCAAAGCAAGAATTTTCCAAGGCCTATTGTAAAGTTAATTTAAAGGGTCAGTTCACCCAAAACAAGATGGAGAGTTAAGTGTGGATGATAACGTGTCAGGTTATTCTTTGGATTTTTATATTTGTGTATTATAATATAGGTGAGGTCTCCACAACTGTGCTCCTTGGCTTTGTCTCTGGTGTTGTAG